GTTAGATGATTTGGGATTGTGGCATATGGTCGAAAGCTTATTTTTTAAGATAGATTATGCTTTTTGTTTTAGGCCTTGAGGAAGTCCCTCAACGGTGGAAAAGCTCTCGGGATGCCCGATGGTGTTCTTATTAATGGGAAAGGACCTTACCAATATAATACAACGCTGGTCCCGGATGGTATTGATTATGAAACCATTACAGTCCACCCAGGTAATATTAATTAAGGTTATATTATTAAACAAATTATCTGCAATTATTTAAATAGGCCAGATAAGCTCTGCTTCCAATTGATAATATTTTGCTGGAGTTTCCCCAAGACTCTCAGTTGTGTGCTAGAAAAAGAATTTGGCTGGCTATGGTAGGTGACAAAATTATCTGGTAGCTTTTAAACTATGAGTATGATTTACGCATTGCAGCCATGTAGTAAGAATTTCTGCATCACCGTGGCAACGTTAAGGGTGTATCTTATGTTTTCATGCTCTTTTCTGGTATTCTCTTCTTGTGTAAGCAGCATTATGGTTCTTGATTTTTGCTTCATCATCTCCAACATTTTGCCTTATCAGGAAACATATATATGGTCAATGTCATTAACAATCTCATAAATTGTAGTTATTTGATCATTTCATAATGCTGCTTGGTCTAATTAAAGTGAGCAAATACAATAATTTATCCTGTAACTAGTTCATGGGTTGTGGTGGATGCGGCTGGAACCGCACTACAAGTTCAAAAAATTGTCTGCGTCATTTGCATGAATGATTTGAAAGCTGTTCTTTTTTCCTAAAGTTGAATCGTTCTGTTTTCTTTCTTTCTTTTTTGTTTGGGGGTGCGGGGAGGTTTAGTAAGTCCTGCTCAAAAGAGTAGAAGTTAACAATACTAGAATTACTTCCTGTTTCAAAGAATTGATTTGTTTGAAGGGGAGGGTAAATCATCAATTTAGCTTGTAGGATTATAAACAACATGAGACTTACTGATGCCAATGATCAACAGGGAAAACATATCGCATCCGTGTGCACAATGTGGGAATATCAACAAGCTTGAATTTCAGGATTCAAAACCATAACCTCCTTTTAGCTGAGACTGAGGGATCATACACAGTGCAACAGAATTATACTAGTTTGGACATCCATGTTGGTCAATCATATTCATTCTTGGTGACAATGGATCAGAATGCTAGCTCTGATTATTACATTGTAGCAAGTGCCCGGTTCGTGAATGAATCTCTTTGGAAAAGAGTAACTGGCGTTGCCATATTGCATTACACAAATTCAAAAGGGAAGGCTGCTGGCCCTCTTCCGGATGCACCCAACGATGAATTTGACAAAACCTATTCTATGAACCAAGCTAGATCGATCAGGTATGCTTCCTGGAATTTTATGCGGAGAAACTTACATTTCTTTTACTGATTATGGCAAGAGTATGTTGAGTCTGCATCGCCTTGGATTCAACATCTGGACATCTTTTTTATCTGGAAAAACCGTCACTGCAATGAAAAGATAGAATGTCTTATATTAACATTCTGGGAGTGTGTCTGGTCCATGTTAGTTTCAAAAGTTGGTGAGAAGATCACTGCAGCAAATGTTTGAAAATAAATCACATGTGGCGTCAAAAGTGCCTTCCGTATTTGTTGCAACTTGATCTTTTAATCGCTGACACGGCATTTATGATTACTTTGTTAACTGAAACAATAGATAATTGAATCTCAATCTCTGATCTGACACTGGGATGCAGATGGAATGTGACTGCCAGTGGGGCTCGTCCCAATCCACAGGGGTCTTTCCGCTATGGCTCAATCAACGTGACTGATGTGTATGTATTGAGAAATGCTCCTCCAGTGACGATTGATGGAAAACGGCGCACAGCGCTAAGTGGAGTCTCGTTTGTGAATCCTGCCACCCCAATCAGGCTTGCTGACCAGTACAAAGTGAAAGGAGTATATAAGCTTGACTTCCCCAATAAACCACTGACTGGACCGCCAAAGATGGAAACATCTGTGATTAATGGAACTTATAGGGGATTTATGGAAGTAATATTGCAAAACAACGACACTAAGGTGCAGTCGTATCACATGAGTGGATATGCATTCTTTGTAGTGGGGTAACTTCTTCTGCATTGCCATGCCTACTTGCAACGTTGCATTTGCTTTCCATGGTTATACTAGTGCTATTTACTTTGTTAGTTGGAGTCGTAGGAATTCCCTTTTCTTTTTAATCAAGAAGTGGTGACAAATATCTTCTACGTACAGGATGGATTATGGCGAGTGGACAGAAAACAGCAGAGGTACATATAATAAGTGGGATGGCATTGCCCGCTCCACAATCCAGGTGCGTTTTCACGTGTCAAAAACTTTTATCAGATAAAATTTCAAATACCCTTATCTTCACCCTCAACTTTCTCACAGTGGTTGGGCTCATTTTCTGCATTCATCGAGGAAGACTGAGCATTTCATTGGTTGTAGTGTGCCTTCGCAGTGCTTTATAATTGAGTGTGAAAGATGCTTGTCGCAACTCGCAAATGATCCTGTAGTGGTGATGCTCTAAGGCATCTCCTGTTATACAAAAAGACAAACGCTTGAAAAACTTATTTTAGTTCCGAAGAAGCTGAAGTCCCTCATGTTTCTTGTTTCTTTAGTCAACGCTTGATTTTCTTCGAAGTAGATGGGAGACAGATGAAAGATTGCTTATACTGATTACTCTTTCTCTAGGTCTATCCTGGAGCATGGACAGCGATCCTCATATCCCTTGACAATGTTGGAGTTTGGAACTTGAGAACAGAAAACCTGGACTCATGGTACCTTGGCCAAGAGACTTACGTGAGGATCATCAATCCAGAAGAGAATAATAAGACTGAGATGCCGATACCTGATAATGCTCTGTACTGCGGTGCACTTAGCCATCTGCAGAAGTATGTAATCCAACTCTGCCTCTTAATTCTTTGTTTCGGTAGATAGAACTATCATCTGCCAATTAGGCAGGCTATTCCTTTTCAAATTTACACCTTTGACCCTGACAAAACGCATCTACTGCTCATTTTTTCTTTTAGTATGTTCATGGAAATGTGTTTAATCTAAAAACTGAAGCATAATAAAGAAACAAGGATTGTGAACCATCTTATTTTTTTGGTGTTTTGGTGAAAGCTTTCATGTCATACTAAAATTCTATGCCTTCAATTGCAGGCCTGAAGATATCTCTTCGGCAGTCACAATCACTGCCAGTATATCAACCGCGGCTGTCGCTCTGCTAACGATACTCTGTGCTCTCATATCCGTCTCCCGCTAGGCGCATCGTCGCCATCTCCTTCTAGTGTTTCCTACATGTTGCTTTGCCGGATTGTAGCTTTAGTGAGGTTGGTTTGTGAGTGTTTTAGGGTGTGCCATTCTAACCTGTCCATAATTCAGTGATTTTGACATGTATTCTTTTGATCCACAGTAGTCTAAGTATTCCGCTCGGGGTCCTTTCGTCTAATTTATCGCGATCTTACATTCTTTTACGTACCCTACAATTGTATGAATGACTTGTGAACAGTTTTCAGAAGCAGATCCATTTTTCCGCTCTCTGGTTTGGCTCTCTTAATTACTCATTAGTCTTGCCCGGTCTTTAGGAGGGACTAAGCACAGATTACATATAGGCTTTAAAGGTTGAATCTTTGTTGCCTAGCTTGTGTCATTTGCTATGGAACTGTAAAAAGAGTAGGTTTTCGTATGTGTATTTTCATCGTTTTTCATTGTCCACTGAAAATGTAAGTTTACTTTATATAAGACACTTAAAATGTCGAGACATCTGACAACAAGACCTAGTTCACGTAATCATTTCGATGCCAAAAATGATCATCGTATTCCTTTTCCAGGTTTCTTAAAGGCCATCTCTATTTGCAAACAAGAATCAAAATCCAATGTTAGAGTTTTGGCATACTCTAAGCAATGCCTTGGATAGTGACGCGACTCGGGCATCAAAAACTTGAAATCATTGACTGTTGTTGCACATCCAAAACTAGTTGAAAAAAGGATTTGTCAATGGTAACAATTATAACTTGTGTGCTTCCGACAAAAAATAACAGCCAAAGAATCGTCACGACATAGATCCCTTGCTCTCATGTCTTGTGCTTCATAAGCCCTTATTATCTCTGAGGAATTCTCAGTTTTCAGTAACTAAAGAATGAGAAGAGCCTCTGGCTTCAGGCTAGGAAGAAAGGTGGTGAAGATCTTCAAATTGATTACCCGGGCACGGAGCAGAACTTAACTGGACCCCGAAGTGAGGTCTTCTTGCTAAGAAAGATGCTCGTAACCCCATGAACAAAACCTACGATTGGCTCAGTACGATATATGCAGAGCGAGAAGGCACTCCCCTTTCACTTCAGCTGAAAGTTGCATTTTGTTGGGTCAAGAGATGGACGGAACCAAAGGAAAGGGAGTTACAAAGGGACAATTGGCGGTTTAGTGGGCGAGCCGGGAGCTGCCATGAGGAGAGTCATGGTGCCTGTGATGTACTTCAATCACCCGCTGTTCGGCAAGATGCTTGTGGGTATGATCATCCGGGAGGGATTGACACACCTTGCAGGATTTAGAAATTTGAGAAGGTGAACAAAGGTCAGGCTGGTGGTGGCATTGCTAATCCCACTGAGATTCAAAACGATTAACCTATAAATTTACAGATGATAGAATGAGCGACTGAAGGCAATGGTGATTTTAAGTCTGGTGGTTGTCAAGATTCATGACTGGTGTTCCACAAGTTGCAGATCCTCTCTGTTCTTCAGTTTCTTAATTCTCATCGATTTGGTTGTTTGATGCAAACCTCAAATTAATTTCAAAAGTTCTGCAAATTACGGAACTCATCCCTGATTTTCCCTGTCATGGGTGACACCGATCTTCTGCAGAGTATGCAAATAATGAACCACGCACAATTGTGCATTATAAAAGCAATTAAAATCACAGCATCAAAGCTTTCCCGGCCTAAAATCAAGGTGATTCTCCTTCAAAGGATGAGGATTGCAGAGAGAAAAAATATATGGTAAGAAGCTGCACTACTTTCAGTCTCAGATTGTTATAAGCCCAACAAAAGTACATGAGGAAGACATGCAATAAGGAAGTCTCTTAACTGTCCACAGCGGAGCCATTTATGAATTCTGCTCAACCCCAAGCTCGCTCAATAACCAATGCTGCTTGAGGATCAAGAAATTCACCACTGCCCCTCCTTAAAATGCAAAAAAGCACAACAGTCGTAGTCCAGCTCATTCGAGCATGGTGAAAATTAAAGTGAGAAGATGCTATTCACGGGAAAAAAAAAACACCTCTCACATGACCAGAAATTCAAACTTTTATCTGCTGCTGGTTGTGTAATCAGTTTCCTTGTATTATTCAACTCACAATGAATGACTATTCTCTAGTATCTACCCCTCCAGGAACTCCATTTGAGTTTCAGTTGGTACCACAAAGGCGAGATTCCTAGAACTCCTCGTGCTAGCCTTGAATCAAACACATCGAACTGCACCCGACTGAGGGTATCTAGCAGTACTTGCGCAGGCACAGCCGGAAGCAGCACTGGGATCGCCTCTGCAGGCACTGTTCCGGCTAACTCACGAGCCTTCTGCAAATGGATGTTAGCCACAGATGCCATCTCAAATACTGCATCACAAAGCTTCTCGCGGGAATCTAATCGAACTTCCGATTGACCTCCCAATTCAACCAGCAATCCATGCTTGGCCGCCACTTTTCTAGGTATATATAAAGAGTGGCGGCTCTTGCTAGCATGATATGGCAGCGACTTGAGCAGCAAAAGAAGGCCACTGGCCTTTCCAATATGAGATGCCGCGTGATCAGCGGCAGTGGACCTGATTCCACCAGATTGAAGTGTCGTGTACAGAATGGTCGATGCAGTGTCCTCGGCATATTTTTCCAATTCATCGGTGGTTTCCGGCATTTGAGTCACCTCTCTGCTAGCGTCATTAATACGAGCTTCAACAGATCGTTTCAACCATGCCTTGCTAAATTTGAACTCAGATACAACTGCAGATAAGGCCTGCGCAGTTGGGTGTTCGATTAGTTTATTGGAAAATATTTTGTCTATGGTTTCCTGCCACCAGACAAGTCGCATGAGGCCAATTCTTGGATCAGAAGCGACGTCCATGGCTCTGGATGTTTCAACATTGAAAGCGCGGAGGGCAAATGCAGCCTTACGCATGTTGGGTGGAAGTTCAAGAAGACAAAGGTAGTGATGGTAATCATAACTCCGAACCTGCTGCACACAATGGGAGAAAGCAGCGCGTAAGTTAGTAGATGCACCGGAGCCGCTCATCAGTTCAACGTCGGAAAAACCACCCTGCAGATACACAGAACTCGAATGAGAACGGGAAATCTCTAGAAAAGAAAGGAAGAAACTTCAGCATCGTTCAAGTCTCCGGGTAGTCTCTCAACTGAAAATGTTTAGCTTTCACATATGCATTTATGCTTCATCTTCTCTTTGTCAACGCAAACCTCTATCTATGCAAATTGATAGCCCCAACATCTTGCTATAAACGTAAGGCCAGGTCATTGAGTGAGATGGATAAGGAAATTCATACCAACCTTTGCGCATCACTGAAACTTCTTTGATAGTCCCTAATCAAAATTAAGCTAGATATATCGCTCTTTTCTGGTAGAGTTGCAGTTTTTCCTGCCCCACCTCGGGTCATATGGCCCCGGAGATACAGGGGCACAGGCGCATACATGAATTTGCCCAATTGTTACAGACCTTTTAACACCCAAGTATCGATCACCCAACGCTGCTATGTGTTCTACCAAATTATTTTCGCCAATGCCAGTCCATTTTAGTACGTGTACATTCACAACAGGACACAACACCAACTGTTCGGACAAATGCAGCAGCCAAAAAACCAAAAACCATCTGGCAAAGTTTACGAGGGTTAACAAGGTCCCAACTTTAGTAGATGGAAACGCGCACTGGCATGAAAAGCATGAATCGGACGACAGACACGATCGCGCTGAAGCACGCGCTCACGGAGGCATTTCATCAAACAGGTGACCCCCCAATGCAATTCCCAACGGTCGAATCCAAAAATAAACCGATGCAAACATGACTTTCGGGATCTTACCGGATCGTCACAAGCGAAGCGATGGTCGGCTTCGAACGGTGGCTCCAGGTGAATACCAAGAGGAGCGAATCGGGTCAAGAGCCCGAGGGAATGCGGGTTCGGAAGAGCGAGCTTGAAATGGGTAAGGTGTCGCGGGAGAGCGGCCGAGCTCTTCTGCACGTGGACACACGCGCGGTGGGGGATCTCCGGCGAGAGAGGTGTGGTGGGAGCGAGGGGGGTGGTGGTGGAGGGAGGAGAAACGCTGCGGTCGCGGGAGGTTCCCTCTGACGTTGGGCGGAGCTACATAAGCGCCAAAGATCTTCTGGATTTCGTTTGCTCCGAACTCGAAACGCTGACACGAACAGCTCCTGAACTTTAATTTATTATGCAATTTGATCTTTAAATTTTTAATTATTTAATATAATCCTAAAATTTTAGCTTAATATTTAATTTGATTCACGAACTTTTAATTTGTTCAATATAATTCCTGAAGTTTTTGCTGCATGTTCAATTTAACTCCATGAACATGTTCAAAATTGCCGTTCAGACTCCATAGAAACAATAATCAATTTTAGCTCGAATGAGTTTATAGAGGAACCCTACATTCTCTAATTCATTCGACACATGCAATTTCATTACCTTTATAAAAAGGGTAATATCTTTCTTTTGAGGAATAAGACTATTCCAATACTCATGGAGAAAGAAACGTGATAAATGCAAAGAAGGGGCATCTTTCGACTCTAGGGAAAGGGTAGAAGAATGAGACCTATTTTGGAACATATAATGCACTACGGATGTATGATCATTACACTTCAATTGGGTTATTCTGTCATTGAAATATGTACCAAAAAGTTCAAGGACCATGTTTAACAAATTAAAAGTTCTGGAACCAAATTGAAAATTTGGCTAAAATTGAGGGACTAAATTGAATAAATTAAAAGTTCAGGGACCAAATTGCACAATAAGCCAAAGTTTAGGGACCTTTTGTGTCATTTTTCTTTTAAAATAAAATTCATTTCAGGTCCTTATTTAAGAAAATAAGAATAATTTAGGCCTTTTATTTAAAATGTGATTAATTTCAGGCCCTTATTTGAGAAAATGAAGGCACTTTGTATCCTCATTTGAAATTTTTTAACCAGAAACTATAATTAAGCGTGGTAATTTGCATTAGCACGTCATAATGTCTTTATAATTCCTTAAATTATGTTTCCGCATGACCATCGTATTTTCTTTTCTCTATTATGTAAAGCGTAATAATTGAATTGCCACGAAATCCTGTTTATCGTTGTAGGAATCGCGCAACTTCTGATGTCAAGCGGAGAAATTAAAGGCGTTCAAATTTTCTAGTCAAATCGAAAATTGATCGCGGCGAGGCTATCACACGTGGCCACCTAAGGGTAGGATTCTGGGCTCTCCAAAGTCCAAAGTATTGGAATCTTGGCTCCCCAGCTTGATTATCTTTCTGGTGGTGCATTCGTTTCGCCAAAAAATAAATAATTTATAAAATATTTTCTTTAAAAATAATCTATTATATTTCTTATAAAAATAAATAAATAAAAAATAATATTTTCATCGTCCTCATTATTCATGAAAGTATTTAGAATGTATTTTATTAATTATTTTAAACAATATAAGTGATTATTTTTAAAAAATTATTTTCTAAATAGTTTATTTTTTACTAAATAAACGGAGCTTGTTTGATTGGCCATTAAAGAGGCGTCACCAACTCATGTGGCGTATGCGAGCCTAGTGAGCTCCACTTGAAAGGCTATACGTATGACATGGGTGAAAAAAAAATAAAAACCGAAAGCTTTCCATTTTGTGGAGCATTAAAGGCTAACATTTAAACTACCGCTTTGACCAAAAAAAAAACGTCCGCTTAAAACTCTCTCTCTCTCTTGTTTTTAATTTTCAAGGGCTTCTTAGGGTGCGCATGGAATGCATTCCGGAATAAAAATTCTGTTTCGGAATGCATTCCGGAATAGAATGGCGTTTGTTAAAAAATTTCCGGAATGCATTCTGGAGTGATTTTTGCATTCTGGAATAAAAATGCGTTTGTTAAAAATACTTGATTCCAGAATGCATTCTTGATTCCAGAATGCATTCTTGATTCCAGAAGGAGTTTTTGTCAAGAAAAAGAGAAGCTACTTTTTGTAGCTTCTTGATTCCGGAATGCATTCTCCCTATTTTCTCACAATTTTTTTTTTTTCAGAAAATGCATAAAAATTGAAAAATTCTAGAAAAATTCATAAAAATTTCCAGAAAATAAAAAAAAGTCAGATTTCGGGAAAATATGAAATTTGGTGAATTTTTTTTAAAAAATAAAATCAAAAATCAAAAATTTCAAAACTTCACAGAATAGCTTAAAACACATGTAGCCACCCACTTTGAGTGAAATTTAAATTTTTTGAGGTGCCCAAAAAAAATCAAAAATTTCAAAACTTCACAAAATGGCTTAAAATACCTGTGGCCACCTACTTTGAGTGAAATTTAAATTTTTTGAGGTGCAAAAAAAAAATAAAAATAAAAATAAAATAAAAATTTTCAAAACTTCACAAAATGGCTTAAAATACCTGTGGCCACCCACTTTGAGTGAAATTTAAATTTTTTGAGGTGCCCAAAAAAATAAAAAAAATAAAAAAATAAAAAACTTCACAGAATGGCTTAGAATATCTGTAGCCACCCACTTTGAATAAAATTTAAATTTTTTGAGGTGCCCAAAAAAATAAAAAAATAATAAAAAAATTCAAAACTTCACAAAATGGCTTAGAATACCAGTGGCCACCCACTTTGAGTGAAATTTAAATTTTTTTAGGTGCCCAAAAAAAATTAAAAAAAAATTAAAAATTTCAAAACTTTACAGAATGATTTATAATACATGTGGCCACCCACTTTGAGTAAAATTTAAATTTTTTTAGGTGCAAAAAAAATCAACAAATCAAAATAGATTGCCTTCAAATCAATTTCGGAAGCGAAATTAGTCATGTTTTACCAAACAGATTTTCCTCCAAAATCAATTTCACAAGAATTCCGTAAATTAATTTCTAGCAAGAATTTGATTTTTGGAGCAGAATGGTTACCATTCGCACCCTTACGTGCTCTCTCTCTCCTCTTTTACATTTCTAAAACTCTCTCTCCTCTTTTCTTTTCCAAAGGCTTCTTCGCCTGCTCTCTCTCCTCTCGTGCGTTTCTATTTTGCCTTTGGAAGATGCAGAGGTGCTCCTTTACGTTTTTTGGCTCCTTCAACGAAACTCGTTAGTCTTGCTGGAGCTACCGAGCCGTGAGTGGATAATGAGTGGTCCTCGATGCAATATCGCACCCAAGTCATGAGGTTGCAGCCTTGTTCCAGGGGTTGCATCGGCGTCCTTCCCGTCAGCAACCCCAACAAGACGACTCCATAGCTTCAGCAAGATTAACGAGTTTCGTTGAAGAAGTAGTCAAAGAGCGGGAAGGAACACCTCTGCATCTTCCAAAGGTAAAATAGAAACGCACATTAGGAGGGAGAGAGAGCAGGTGAAGAAGCCCTTGAAAAGAAAAGAGGAGAGTGAGAGCAAGTAATGCCCTTGAAAATTGAAAAGAGGGAGAGTGATGCTATGTCCCTTTTCAACTAATTGCCATAGAATATAAAGCTTCCGGTTTTAATTTTTTAGTTTTCACTCATGTCACACATGTCGCCTTTTAAATAAGCTGAGAAACTTCGACCAAAAAAAAAAAAAAAAAGCTGAGAAAATATTAGGTGCATTCAACATTTCACGTAGGATATATATTGAACCATCCACTGACGGACACGTGGCCATAATGGACCCACTTTTCAGGCATTTTCTCTCTCTCCTCTCACCATTTTCTTCATTTTCCTTTTGCCTTTTGAGGCGCCATGGACGACGTTTCGTGGATTGAGCGTCACCGGCCAACCATGGACGACCCGCTCACTAGCACGCCGACGCGGTGGCGACCGCCATCAAGGCGGCCGACGCTGAGCTTTAGTTGGCCTAGAGCCCGTACAACAGCGAGGAGATTCAGTAGGCGGACCAAGCCATCGTCGCCGAGCTGAAGCAGATTTCGGAGCACGAGGTGGAGATGGAGGACCTACGAGATCACGGTGAAAAAGATGGAGGCTGAGGTGGAGCGCAAGGAGTCGAAGATCTCCACGTGGAGAAGGAAGCTCGACGAGCTCGTCTCCGAGAATAGGTCATCGGAAAAGAATCTCTACGCGAGCGAATAGCATTGAAGGAGCTCATCTCCATGAACAGGTCATCGGCATGCTGGTGAGTGGGTCGTCCATGGCTGGTCGGTGACGCTGCAATCTACGAAGCGTCGTCCATGGCCTCGAAAGGCAAAAAGAAAAGGAAGAAATGGTGAGAGGAGAGAGAGCAACGAAGGAGAGAGGAATAACCGAGTATAGAGAAAAGGTCTAAAAAATGGGTCCATTATGGTCACGTGTCCATCAGTGGATGGTTCAATGCATATCCTACGTGAAGTGTTGAATGCACCTAATATTTTCTCGCCTAGGCTCACGCATAATGGTTACAAACCACTTAGGGCGCGTTTGTCAAGTTGCCAAATAGTAACTATTTTTGTTCTTTTATTCTCAGAATCAGTTTTGAAACAGAAATCCGTTTGGTAAATTTTTTGTTCTCGGGCACAAATTTGCAAAAAATTTGTTTCCAGAATCAGTTTTGAAACAGAATCAAAAAGCAAAAAAAAGTAGTTTCTTGATTCTGGGAACAAGAATCAGAAATGGAAAAGAAATTTTTTCTTCTTCTTGGTTTTCTTCTTTCTCCTTGGTCTATTCTTCTTCTTCATTCCTGGCCTGCCGCCAGCCGCCGGATCTAGCGTGGACGACCCTTGCCGCCACCCTTGCCGGATCCGACGAGAGCGGCCCTCGCCCAGGCTGCTAGCCGCCCTCGCCCAGGCAAGGGCGGCGGCTAGGGTCCAGTTTGCCATCGGCCGGCAAGTGCTGTGACGCTCTCGCCGACCATGGCCAAGGAAGGGGAAGGGAAAGAAAAAAAAACAAGAAAAAAAAGAAAGAAATATAAAAAAATTCAAAATATTATTAATAAAAAGAAATTTTGGGCAGTTACTAAATGCCTTCAAATGTTTAGAAATTGTTCTCGGGTACGGAATAAAAAAGAATTATTTCTGAGTAGAATCAGCTTTCGAGAACAGAATGATTGTCAAACGCGTCCTTTTAACACTTTTTCGTTGACTAGAGATAACGTAATATACGGGGTCAGATATCAGGCTTGAAATTTTACATTAACGTGAACCAGACTAAGTGGGCCTAACCGGGTCATAATCGGGTCTAATACCTGCCTCAGTTTGTTGTTAGAGCTTAGTGGGCCTGACCGGGTCACGATCGGGTCTAAACAGTCCCACACACAGCCAAGCTGCCAATACTAGGGTTTCGCGGGGAGTCTTCTTCCCCAAAAGAGAGAAACACAGAGCGAGAGGAACCGTCACTTTTTCTTACATTCACATATTTCACAGAACTTCTTAACATTCGAAAAGCTTAACATGCGACAGCAGAACTCAAGTTCCTACATATGTTATACATCTACCAACCACCTTCCTTTCTCATCGCCATTTACACCAACTAACGTGTTCTTTCAGCCTCAACCCTGACCTTGACTTCCTGCCGTGATGACCCGGAGCTACGGCTGTGCTTTGGCCCCGCGGCGCCTCGACCCGAACCTGTCCACCAGGGCCAGCGCGTTGCTCACCACCTGCCCCAGCTCCTCCACCTGCCCCCTCACCGAATTCTTCACGCTCCCATCCATGTCCGGCCTCGAGAACCCATCGAGGCACATGTTCTCGTCGGTAAGGGCCCCGCTCACCCACGTCTGCACGTTGCTCATGTGCCATTCGAACGCGTCCCCCGCGGCCGCCTGGCCTCCCATCTGGCCGAGCTCGTTGATGGACTGGCTCAACCGGTTCACGCTGTCGCCCACGTTCTGCATGCAGTCCCGCACGGCCTGGGACTCCCGGGGCGTGATGCCCTGGAACTGGGACAGCCGTGCAACGTAGGACGAGACGTCGTGGGCCCGGTCGAGGCTGACCTGGAGCGCGGCCCGGGCGAGCAGGCGGGGGTCCTGCTGGACGGAGGAGGCGTAGCCGGAGAGGCACTGGACGCAGAGCGCCTGGTAGTGCGTGGACTTGCATGAGGACTCGATGAAGTCCGTGTTCGCATCAGTCGCAGGCTGTGAGTTCGACGGTTTGAGGAGCGTCGTGAAGAAGAGGGCGTGGAGGACGAAGAGGAAGGAGAGAGATAATAGTGCTTTGGCCATGTTTATGTTTGTGTGTGTGTGTGTGTGTGTGTGTGTGTGTGAGCTGGTTCAGACCGTGTGCATGTGAAGGTGAAAGGCATCGTGGAGTGCATGGTTTATATAAGGAAAGATTAGAGAGAGAGAGGACCTTCCTAGGAAGCTCCACTCCAAGTCAATGTTTATCTTTGTCGTACTTTTCATTTTAACTTATTTAGTAATAGAAAAATGCAGTCACGTGACTGCCTGCCTCCCCTATTGAGCTCCCTTCATTTATGGTTGCATTTGTTTATGTTCTTAAGTCGGTACCATTTTATTGACCACTTTCGACTTCATTTCTCTATATGATATCATGCTTAGATTATCTCGCAATCGTATGAGGCCAACCCTCGCCCTGGTGATGCCCGGCAAGGTGGCATTAGCCTAGGCAAGGGTTGGCCTCGCCGGAGCTCGCCTTACCTATGTGAGGCCGACCGTCGCTCAGGTGAGCCAGCCCTTGTCGGCCATGGCTTGTGCTGACGCCGGGGAAGAAGAGAAAGGACAAAAAAGAGGAAAAAAAAAGGAAAAAGTAAAAAAAATAAAAAAAAATAATATTAAAAATTTATAAAATATGTTCACGTCAGCGCTAACAGTGCCATGTAGGACGATCGGAGTCCACATCGGTAATTTTTAGCCTAAATTGATCAAATAGACTCAATTGGTACCAATGCGAAAATGCTTGAGATTAATTTAATTCAATTGAAAAGTTTAGAACTGAATTAATACCAATACAATAGGTTTAGGACTTTTTTAGTACTTTTCCCATCAAGTCGATGAACTGGTGTAATATTATGAGGGGTTAGCTAAACTGGCATCTTGATTGCGATTTTGGGTCTTAAAAGGTGTGGAAATTTTAGGGTTGTATTCGGATTGGGCATAATCTCTTGAGTTTGTGGGAAGTCCTTAAATTCCCAATCTTGGAGGCTTTGTAGTTTTACAATCGGCACATAATTCGTCATGAGGCGATTTACCTCTGACAGAACGCTAATGAACTTCAAATACAAATCACGCAACAGCCTAATGTCGGTGGAGAAATTAATGTCCTAAATGTGCAAATGGAGTTGACTATACATCTAAGCAAGGGCATACATACAAGGTTTAACTCAAATTTCATACCAAAAGAGAGCCAAAGAAAAAGGGTCATAGAGACACGAATGCCAAAATAGTAGCATGGATTTCTCGAATTTTAGCTTGGTCATGTCTATTCAAGAGCTAGATATTTGAAACGGAACATATAATTAAGTTTCTTAAACATTAACGTATCTTTATTGATGAAGAAAACATCTTCTGCTGACTAACTTTTTCAATCGATGCGAACAATCAATTTGAAGTAAACGTTTAACATTCGTTCTCGACGAAACAAACAAATCCTAAGCGGAATAACAACTAATTATAAGTCTGTGTTCCAGGACAGTTGGACACAGGATGGCCGACACCGGAGGAACAACCCTTGAGTGATAAATTTTACAATAATCCTATGAATGAACTGGCGACGCCAACCAGCTGAGTACAAGCTTGCATCCCAAGATGGTTCTCTTCTTTCTGAGCGCTTCTTCCTAGTCACTCAGTTTCGAGCGACTACCGTCATAGATTATTTATATGCGATTCGTGTACAAACACAGCATTAAACAATCAAAAGTCCACCTTTCTCGTTTCTCAAGAACCGCAGACCACACGGCCAGCCAGTTGCGCAACACAATGTCAACCCATCAATTCAAACTTGTTTCTCGTGTCAGGAAGTCACCCAGCACTTGCCTCAGAGCAAATATAATAAGAACCAGCCAGTTATCAGAAGCTGTTCATTGGGTCTAGGTTCCATTTCCTTCTGTCCTCGTGGGTCTGTTGTGCATTAAAAGATTTCGTCTCAGAAGTATAGCTTAACCAGCACCTTAACCAGCAATGCCGGTGCTGATTCTAGTCCGTCCCTTGTTTCTGTAAAGAAAAAGTGGGATTACACAACTTGAGCTAAGGCGTGGCTTATCATCCAACCCTTGTTCAAACCTAGAATTGCCTTGAATTTTAAGTTTCTCTAAGGTTATCCAAAGCTGCCTACTTTCGTATACACACGTATGAAAATGACTGTCGAGATTAATTCGTACCCACAAGTCATTAATAAATCATGGAATTATATGATCAAGGTCAACTTAGCTTCTCATCAATGTTACGTTTTTTTTTTTTGGTAAGGAAACAATGAAAATGTTACGTTTGAAGGTTCTTTCGACACTTTTCGCGTGTAAGTCGATCCATTTACGTACGACGAGATATCCAAAGAACAAAAAAATAAAAAATACGGAAAATGACAAGCACGATAAGGATCGACTCTAGGGAAAGGGTAGAAGAATGGGACCTATTTTGGAATATATAATGCATTACAGACGTATGATCATTACACTTCAATTGGGTTATTCAGTCATTGAAATATGTACCAAAAAGTTCAAGGACCATGTTTAACAAATTAAAAGTTCGGGAACTGAATTGAAAATTTGGCTAAAATTTAGGAACTAAATTGAATAAATTAAAAGTTCATGGACCAAATTGCACAATAAGCCAAAGTTTAGGGACCGTTTGTGTCATTTTTCTTTTAAAATAAAATTCATTTCAGGTCCTTATTTGAGAAAATGAGAACAATTTAGGCTTTTTATTTAAAATGTGATTAATTTCAGGCCCTTATTTGAGAAAATGAAGGCACTTCGTAACCTCATTTGAAATTTTTAAACCAGAAACTATAATTAAGCTTGGTAATTTGCATTAGCGCGATCATAATGTCTTTATAATTCCTTAAATTATGTTTCCGCATAACCATCGTATTTTCTTTTCTCTATTATGTAAAGCGTAATAATTGAATTGCCACGAAATCCTATTTATCGTTGTAGGAATCGCGCAACTTCTGATGTCAAGCGAAGAAATTAAAGGCGTTCGAATTTTCTAGTCAAATCGAAAATCGATCGCGGCAAGGCTATCACACGTGGCCACCTAAGGGTAGGATTCTGGGCTCTCCAAAGTCCAAAGTATTGGAATCTTGGCGCCCCAACTTGATTATCTTTGTGGCGGTGTGTTCATTTCGTCGAAAAATAAATAATTTAAAAAATATTTTCTTTAAAAATAATTTATTATATTTCTTATAAAAATAAATAAACAAAAAATAATATTTTCATCGTCCTCATCATTCATGAAAGTATTTAGAATGTATTTTATTAATTAATTTAAACAATACAAGTGATTATTTTTAAAAAATTATTTTCTAAACAGTTTATTTTTCACTAAATAAACGTAGCTTGTTTGATTGGCCATTAAAGAGGCGTCACCAACCCATGTGGCGTATGCGAGCCTAGTCAGCTCCACTTGAAAGGCGATACGTGTGACATGGGTGAAAAAAAAATAAAAACCGAAAGCTTTCCATTTTGTGGAGCATTAAAGGCTAACATTTAAACTCCCGCTTCGACCAAAAAAAAACTTCCGCTTAAAACTCTCTTTCTCTCTCTCTTGTTTTTAATTTTCAAGGGCTTCTTAGGGTGCGAATGGTAACCATTCTGCTCCAGAAATCAAATTCTTGCCAGAAATTGATTTCTGGAATTCTTGCCAGAAATTGATTTCTGGAGGAGAAATCTGTTTGGTAAAACATGACTAATTCTGCTCCAGAAATTGATTTCTGGAACAGAAATCTATTTTGATTTGTTGATTTTTTTGCACCTAAAAAAATTTGAATTTTACTCAAAGTGGGTGGCCACATGTATTATAAGCCATTCTGTAAAGTTTTGAAATTTTTGATTTTTTTTAAATTTTTTTTGGACACCTAAAAAAATTTAAATCTCACTCAAAGTGGGTGGCCACAGGTATTCTAAGCCATTTTGTGAAATTTTGAATTTTTTTATTTTTTGGACACCTCAAAAAATTTAAATTTTACTCAAAGTGGGTGGCTACAGATATTCTAAGCCATTCTGTGAAGTTTTGAAATTATTTATTTATTTTTTTATTTTTTGGGCACCTCAAAAAATTTAAATTTCACTCAAAGTGGATGGCCACAGGTATTTTAAGCCATTTTGTGAAGTTTTGAAAATTTTTATTTTTTTATTATTTTTATTTTTTTTGGGCACCTCAAAAAATTTAAATTTCACTCAAAGTAGGTGGCCATAGGTATTTTAAGCAATTTTGTGAAGTTTTGAAATTTTTGATTTTTTTTGGGCACCTCAAAAAATTTAAATTTCACTCAAAGTGGGTGGCCACATGTGTTTTAAGCTATTCTGTGAAGTTTTGAAATTTTTGATTTTTTTTATTTTTTAAAAAAAATTCACCAAATTTCATATTTTCCCGAAATCTGACTTTTTTTTATTTTCTGGAAATTTTTATGAATTTTTCTAGAATTTTTCAATTTTTATGCATTTTCTGAAAAAAAAAAATTGTGAGAAAATAGGGAGAATGCATTCCGGAATCAAGAAGCTACAAAAAGTAGCTTCTCTTTTTCTTGCCAAAAACTCATTCCGGAATCAAAAATGCATGGAATCATTTCTGGAATCAAGAATGCATTCTGGAATCAAGTATTTTTAACAAACGCATTTTTATTCCAGAATGCAAAAATCGCTCCAGAATGCATTCCGGAAATTTTTTAACAAACGCCATTTTGTTCCGGAATGCGTTCCGGAACAGAATTTTTATTCCGGAATGCATTCCATGCGCACCAGAATGCATTCCAAAATTATTTTAACAAACGCATTTCTGTTCCGGAATGCATTCTGGAGCAGAATTTCTACTCCAGAATAGATTCCATGCGCGCCCTTACGTGCTCTCTCTCTCCTCTTTTACATTTCTAAAACTCTCTCTCCTCTTTTCTTTTGCAAAGGCTTCTTCACCTGCTCTCTCTCCTCTTGTGCGTTTCTATTTTACCTTTGGAAGATGCAGAGGTGCTCATACACGTTTTTTGGCTCCTTCAACGAAACTCGTTAGTCTTGCTGGAGCTACCGAGTCGTGAGTGGATAACGAGTGGTCCT